TCTCCAAGTTGAGCAATAGCATCAACAAGATAACCACCTGGCCTGCGCTGATTCGTTCAACTCTCCATCCATAGAATAATCTTGGCTTAATCTGATAGGCACAGCACAAAATTAAGCTAAGATGTTTGTTAACTACTTCCCTTTAGAGTTGTCTTTAGGCTAACTAGCTAAGTATAATGTGACTTAGGGCTCCAATGCAAGCTAAGTATAATTTTGAAAATGTAAGACCTTAAATATAGGAATGAAAGTGATTGAAGAGGATGTGTACTAAAAGTAGAAAAGCTGTGTCCATGGGGAGAACTTGTGACCACTCACTTCAACAATATTCCCACCCTCTCATGTTCCCCACAATTCTGGCCAGGTTCATCATCAATTTAGGTAATTGGGCAACCCTAAAAGGTCTGAGGATATCATGTCTCTAATCTAATGGTTCTCCTACGCAGTACGTAGAACATAAGAGAAGGGCTAGCAAGGCCTTCTTAATTCAGATATTATGAATGAGCAGTAGGCTAGCTAGCTACCATAAATATTGTAGGTAACTGCCCTACACAAGAACACCACAACAACAGAAAGAAATCAGAAGAGAAGTAATGTACGTAGTTAGATAAGGATCGTTTTATATCATATACAACATATAATTAGGCTGATCAGAAGATTACATATATTTTTCTAGCATCGATCTGGTTGATCCGTGTCAGATGGTACCCAGAGTTCCCCCAAACACTTCATTGGGGAAATTATCAAGGGTAGTACATATGTACCCTAATTTATCCTACTGAAGTGTTTGGGGGAACTCTGGGTACCATCTGACACGGATCAACCATATAGATGCTAGAAAAATATATGTAATCTTCTGATCAGCCTAATTATATGTTGTATATGATATAAAACGATCCTTATCTAACTACGTACATTACTTCTCTTGCACATTGTTGAATTGGGATTAAGTTGAAGTTTTCGTCCACTGAGCTCCCCTTCTGCTGCAATTCAATATAGTTTTTCTCCTCATAACTTTTTTGGGTTGATTTCTTAATGTGCATGTACATATATAATGCAGATTGATGAATTACACTATGCTGCTGGGCTACTTCAGCCCTATTTTCTTAATGAGGCTCTGCAAAGTTTCTGGAGATAAACTATTACTGCAGCTTTGTGTTTGTATTTCATCTCGTTTAAACCTTGGTTTGATATAAGATTGAAGCAACAACAGAAGAAGCATAATTTCTTATTGCCGCCTTACCACCGAACTAAAGGAAGAGACCTGAAGTTCGGTGAATTAATTGATTTATGGTGAATTAATGGCTTATAAATTTTAAATTCCATTCAATTCCTAATTGTTTATAGTGGAATTGTGGATCGGTTTCAATTTTAAGTTGATAAGAAATTGGTCCAGCGACTTTGTAAGAATCATTATACTGCTTCTGTAAAGATTAGCAGCTTCTTAGTTCAATAAAATTTGGAATGTTTCAAATTTAGTCATCAGGCACTGAAAGCAGAAGAAAAACGGTAATAGAAAACCTTTGAGCCAGAGAAAACATAAGCATCCTCAACCGCCAACCCCCTTGGGGGGTGGGTTCCCTCCCTTCCCCTTCTCTCTCCACCCCTCCCCTCTCTCTACTCCTCCCAATCCCTTGCTTTCCCCTTTGGTTTGTTGTTGTTGTTTTGCCATTTTGGCTAGTTTGTTCTACGCTTGGTTGTTTTGTTTGTCTTCTTTTTAGAGATTTGGAGCTCCTACTTTAGATATACTTTAGATCTCTGTGGTTTGTTTCAACTTGTGATTTGGAGATAGACAAAGTGAGTGAGCGGTTTTATTTACTTGTGTGTTTGAGCTTGCTTGAGTTGTAATAATTGCATCATCTCTTTGTGAGTTTGATGCTTGTTTGTAGTCTAGTCTCTACTTGTGAGAGTGTAAAGGTTATAGTTGTGGATTTACTTTGGTGTGTGGTTTTCCAGGCTACTGGCTTTTATGATGGAATGTATTTAGCCATGTGTGGCCATATTTGGACTAACCCTTTATGATTACTGTGCTTCCATATTTGTAACAATCCTTTGTGATTATGTATATTTGTAGTAGCTATTGTGGTTGACAGCCTTTTTATGCATAAATTATGAATGCAACATTGCCTTTATCTCACCCAAAAAAAAAGAAAAAAAAAGACATATACTTATGTTGTGTTCTAATGATTGACTCGAATTGTTGAATTCAACAACATCAATGAATGGATTTACGGTGGTAAAATTTTCAAGCGTACGTAACGCTTATTTACTTGTTCTTATTTCAATTGGTGTACCTAATAAATGATAAAACAAGGTGCACACAAACTGAGACTTGAGAGAGAAATCATGTATAGGTCGACTTGAACCACATATGCAGGTTTACGAAGAATAATGATATATCTTGAACCAGATACCTTAAAATTCTCTTAAATTCAAACAGATTTTCCTATTATTAGAACTAACATTTCCGCACGCGCTTCTGTGCATGCGACACGCTTTTTTAAAAAAAATTAAAATTTATTTTAGAATTAAAAAAAAAGGGTAGTTATGTTCCATAAAAATAGGATTCATTATCTGATTTTTCTTTTAATTTTTTTTTAAATATGGAAAAGTGTGAATTTACCATATTATCCTCATTTAATTAATAATTTCAATTCTTAATATTTGCATTAACCAATGACATTTTCTGGTATTTTGAATGTTTTACCATTCTCTGCCTTTTATTTTATATATATAGATTAACAAGTGGCCAAAAAAAGGGGTGGATTTTGGCATGAAATTTGTACAAAAATCCTTAGAGAGCTTGTTTGGAGAAAATAAAACCCTCAACTAGCCACTTGTCATATTCTAATTGATTATTAATGTGTTACAATTTTATCACTTGAAAGTACAACATGAAGTTTTTCTAAAGTATTGGCTTAAAGGGCTTTTTTTTTATAACATGTAATGTTAGAATGAGCCTATTTGTAAAAGATTTTTTCTTTTTTCCATTAGCTAAATCTTTAAATCAAAATTCAAACTCTTTTCTTCTTCATAATATTGAAAAGAAAATTATTAATTTTTGTTAGCGGAAGATGCCTATTTTCCGTATAACACACATCTTTATATTGGAGGAAGAATAATACAAATTAATTATTTGTGCTTATCAATAACACACGTCTAGGTATAACACTTATACGTCTATTGTTAAAGGCCCATTTTCCAAACCATTCGTGGTTACCAATTTCATTTGAAGGGCCCATTTTCTAGAGTCAACCTAATTAGTTACTTTCTCTTAAGAAATTAAGGCGGTTTCCCATTACCAAAGGGAAAGAAAAGGAAACGTTTCGATCAAGCAACTCAAGTCTTAGTCGGCCAATCCCCAACGAATAAGGAAACCCACCACCCTAACCCTATATATATCTGTTAGTCCTCTCACTCCACAAATACACTTCTTCAAACAACCAAAGCAATTCTCAAACTCTAAGTTTCCAGCCGCGACAAATTTCTATGGAAGACTTCCTTGTCAATGCCATCCATCACGAGCGTGAACGCTTCAGCTTCAGCTTCGACGACATTACCGCAGAACTAAACAACCCTAATCGTGTTCATAACCGGAACCGTTCATCAGTGCAGCCGGTTAAGTTTCATGTCAAGATTGTGCACGATATCCATTACAAATACGTCAATTGTTCCTTGAACCGCACTGAAACCACCATCGTAGAATATGTGAAAAGAAAGGAAAGAGACTGCCGATTCGACATGGACAAGTTAAAGAATTTCCGCGAGGCGCATGAGATTCTTTCTATCATGCTGGCGCTAGTTGGAATCAGTAGAGATGATGCATCAAACAAATGTATGGTGGGTAAGATTAGAGTGCAGGGTCTCATACTCGGCAATAAGCTTAGCAGCATGGGTCGTAAGGTGTTGGGGTTGTGCGTATATATGAGAACCGAGCAAGTCAAGAGTCGCTGTGAGTCGTGTACGCAATTACTGGAGATAGTAATGAGTAGTAGTAGTAATAATGAGGGCATGGTGCCGGCGAGTGGTTCAGCGGTCGAGATGGTACTAAAGAGGGTTCGAGTGGGTTCAGATGACAAAGAAGCATCATGTTGTGAAGAGGAGGGTCGAGAGAGAAAGAGAAGGAAAGTTTGTGTAAGTGAAAGTGATAGTTGCACTGTTTGCATGGAAGAGTTTAATGGAGGATCAGAAGTAGCTTGCATGCCTTGCTCACATGTGTTTCATGACAAGTGCATAAGGACATGGCTCAGACAAAGTCACTACTGCCCGGTTTGCCGATTTGAAGTGCCTACTGCTGATTGAAGAAAATCTTGCTTAATTTGGATGTACTCCTTTAAAGTTCATCATTCTAAGATCTTCTTGGATGAAAGTATATTGTAATTGAAATATTACATATTAATAAATAAAAATTTGTCAATTGTTTGTTTATTTCTGTGTTATTTACATTTGATAATATGCATTTTTTTAAATTTATAATATGACTTTCTATCTAAACTGAAACGATAATTAAAGAATAAATACAATAGGGATAAATACATGAGAAAATTCAATTAGGATTAGATCATCATCAGTATTTGAAAATCTCTGATATTCACTACAGATGGGTCCCACGAGATAGTAAAAGTTTGGAACATATAATTTCCAAACGAATTGCAAGTCCAAGCCCTCTTTTCAAAAGTTTGGCTTATTTACCAAAAAATTGTGCTTGCATATACCAAAAGTTGTAACTTTACTTCCAAGTAAATTTTACCAATTAATTAGTTGGAAAATTAATCAGAACTCTGCTGTCTTGAAATATATTATCCCAAAAGAAGTCGGAAACCAAAAGGTAAGAAACTTCCCACCGAAGAAACCCAAGTCTTGACTGGGTTCTTTAACAGTTTGTTAATCCTACACCAACTTGGAAACAACCCACCTCTACAATATAAAATCTAAAACCCTAGTTTATATTTATTTTAGATACTATCGCTGACTTAATTAATTAGCTGCTGCTTCTCTCAGTCATGGAAGTCGAAGATTTTGAAGTCCATCACGAGAAGGATAGCTTGGACTTCTACGTGCTACTCCTTACCCCACACTTACTAGGAAGCTACGAACCTTCATCGCCGGCTCGGTTTCTTGTCAAGTTTGACTACCAAGTCAACCACATATACTACGATATTCGTTCATCAGATGATATTGGAACTCGTCGTGAAACCCTCGTCGACCAATTTCAAGAAAAAGATGAAAAAACAATTGAATTTGAGAAGCCTGTGTTGAGGAAGTGCGGCGAGTCGTACGAGTTTCTTTCTCAGGTGTTGTCGTCCTTTGGAATTACAAGTTCAGATGAGAATGCTGGGTTGCATGATCAAATACTGGATGGGATTATAAAGTGGGGTCGCAAAATTCGACAGGAATTTTTTTCCGACGAGCGTCCAGAGGTATGGGGGTTGTATGTTCATATTGGAAAAGACCATGCCATGTATAGGTGTGAGGAGTGTTTGAAGGGTAAGGTTAGGAGGAAATCAATGGCGGCGAGCAATTATAAAGGTATGGTATCGATCAAGAGGGTGCTAAAGAAGGTCATAGATGGTAAATTAGGATCATGTGTTGATGTGAAGGAAGAGGGTACAAAGAGAAAAGGTAGGAGAATTACCGGAAGTGATAATGTGAAGGAGGAGGGTAGGGAGAGAAAAACAAGGGGAATAAGTGTAGTTGATGATGTGGAGGAGGAGGAGGGTACAACAAACAGAAAAAGAAGGAGAAGCGTGGTAAGTGATAATGTGAAGGAGGAGGGTACAAAGAGAAAAAGTAGGAGAAGTAGTGGAAGTGAAAGTGAGAGTTGCAGTGTTTGTATGGAGATGACTAAGAAAAAGTCGCGATTGGTTGTTCCGTGGTTCCTTTAAATTTGATTGTTTTGAGGCTTCCTTCGATGGATGAATTGTTATTAATATTGTGACTAATTTACATATGATCTTATTATATTAAGGTTTAGTTGTTTAGTATTTGTTGGCTTTGTTCATTTGTGATGCAGTTTCTTTTAGCCCTAAATTCATCGTCATATCATTCATCAACAATTAATATCTAATATGCATATAGCACTTTTAGATTTGCAGGTGGAATATTGAGAAATAATCAAAGTTTCAACACACAATTCAAACATGAACAACACTCAATTATGAGATCCTTTTAATTTTTGTTTAACATACTAAACCACTTTTCCACTCCCATAAAAAAATCAACAGAGCTAAAGTAATGACTTTCTACAAGTAATCTAGCTCGCTGCAAAGGAATTGGGAAAAAAATATTTAATTAATTTTTAACTGAACATAATTGACTATCAAGCAAATGAATAAAACAAGCAGAACAAGAAAGCACTTACTTTAATATTGCACCTAGCTATAGCTCATCCACATGTGGTAGGCTATATATTGATCAAATGACTCCAAGAGTCCCCCCAAACACTTCAGTAGAAATTAAAGAGAGAGAGAGAGGCATAATTAAGATAATGCCCATAATAATCTCCAATGAAGTGTTTGAGGGAACTCTAGGGGCCATCTGATGCCTTGTTTATCGACCTTTTTACTTAACTTATAGCTTTGGTTGCTGCCTTGGTTTCGAATGGTTCCTAAGCAACCCAACTATTTATAGAGAGAGTAACGTTGTTGTCTTTTGCATTAAGCTGATCAATATGTTGTTTTGTGTTCAAAGATCACAGAAAAATTGTCAGTGAACCTAGACGCAATTATGAACTAGCTACATGGGAATATCGACTTCGAGTAGCCACTTGCCAGTGATCTGCTTAAATGGCTGAAAAAATCACAATTAAAATGATTAAAATGGGTGTCCTTTGTTATATATTGTTGTGATGTAGATGCTGCGTTAAAAAGGTTGTTCAAGTTGATGAACGCATGTGGCAAATGAGGACCTGACACCATCTCTATGATCTCTATCAAAAAGATTGAGGAGGAAGATGCGCCTCGGAAATGCAAGATGCTTGCTGGGAGATAGAGAAAGCTCTGGGGGGCTTGTCGGGCTTTATCACTTACTAGATGTACAACTACTTTATTCTCTACTATTAATCTTCCCCATGTTTCTGTCTAGATTCAAATTTCAACAACTCAATATATATATATATATATATATATATTATATGATTACATGGATGGATAGATTTACTCTTTACTTAGCAATTGCTGAAACCACAACTGATTGATATGTTGCTAACTAGCTAGTAATTTCTCAGTTTGTTCATAATTAACTTGGCCAAAATCAAAGTTATTGGGAATGTCGTGTACTAGTGTATGTATGCATATATACTTGCTCAAATCCTTAACCAAACAAATGAAACATAAAGAGTTATGGAGTTATCAAGTTCTAATAAATGGTACGTAGTATCAACAATAACTCTTTAACTTTTATTTAGAGAAAACTAAAATCAGTAGAAAAGGAAGAAAGAAAGAAAAAGACCTACTTTTAGAAATAGAGTGTTGCTAAACGAACTTTAAAATTAACTGAGTACAAACTATGATCTAAGTACACCCTAGTATTTTAATCAAAATGTAAAATTAACTAAGTACACCCTATTTAACTACCAAAAATACCCCTGGTCCACCCTAATACACTTTATCACAAACACCAAACCCACCTTGCTGCCAAACTTGTTGCTTAACCCGCCAAAGCCGCTGAGGTTTATTCAGTCAAACAACTATGGAAGAATATGCAGGAGCTGAGGGTGGAGGATGTCGGAATTGCTGTCCTGTTTGGCTTGGAATGCTTTGCCTAGTTTTGTTCTGGTGAGACTGTAGGCCGATGATTTACATGTTAATGGTTACCATGTCTAGGTTATGAGCTTGATCTAATTAGTTGATTTTGTTTTCTATATTTAGCTTCCTTGTTATATGAGAGATGAAACTTAGAAGATCGAATTTATTAACCCATCAACACTAGAAGGAAGATATATAAGTTAAGACTAGTAAAATATTGTATATTCCTTAAATCAGGTGGTTCCTAAATGTCTTTTTGGTGAAAAAAACAAAATAAATGCCAAAAAGGAACCAAAGAAAATTTTAATGGCATATCTCGCAGGGTCATGATTTACTTCTTTTGAGCCAGTCTTTGGGGTTGACATGGTTGTTGCCAGTGGTGCGGCTTCTATTACTGCATCTGCTAGATTCATTATAAACGAAAGAGTACAGCCAAGGGCGGCACTCGGCCCCAATTCTCAGTGCCCCTAGGATTATACCATGAGTTTATAGCCATTGACTTAATATAGCCTTCGCGTTGATACCATGAGTTTATAATAGAAACAGGCATCCTTGATAAGTAGGCATCCTTCCTACAAGATTGAATATTAGTTGTAAAAACGAGAAGCAAAAGAAAAAAAAACCATTCCTTAATGTGGCTAGAGAAGAGAGGAGAGGATTGATGAGAGAGATTTTGTAAAAGCTTGGTAAATATCATATCATCTTACCTTGATTTCAAGATTCATTTTCAAGCATTTAGATAGGGAAGGTTGAATATAGTGTACTTATTAAAATTATTTTGGTAGTAGGGTGAAGGTTCGTTTAGCAGCACTCTTAAAAATAAAATTCTCAGGTATCTAATGAAAATTTATGTAAACCCCCTCCCCCAATCGCCTATACTAAAAATAATTATAAAAAAAAGAAGAGTGAAGGGGAGGAAAAAAAAGTCTAATAAGAAAAAAATTAAGAGAAAGAGGAATCATATCTAGCGAGCCAAGAGATAACTCAGTGGTCAAGAAAAAAGTAAAAACGTACACAACAATTATATGATACATATATTACCAGAACCTCCATATATATATATATATATATTCTGGATAACAATCGTTCTTTTTATAAGAACATGGAAAAGAAGCTGTTATCTTATAGCTCTGTGCCAACTGCAAAAGTGACTTATGCATGTTTCTAAACTTGAGGGACACCCTTTGTAGGGCCCACCCCATATTGTATTTCACTAATCCAAACCGTCTATTTTGTAGATACTTATTCCAAGATCATCTCTACAAAAAATTACTTGAATCCGATATCATTTGACCACTCAATTGAGTTCTTGAAATTTTAGTACTTTCTTGAAGCACAATGTTCATTGATTTTGTATGACACAATTAGATGTCGAAACGGTTTCCGATTTGTCTAATTTTTTTCAAGTATGATCTATAAATATAGACTTAAAAAATAGACATATATATATATATATATTCCCTTCATATTAATATATAGTAAAACATATGAAATCCTAGGATTGGGATAGCTTACTATTCAAGGTATGTTGAAGGAAGAAGGCTAACTTCTAAATTTTGTTCAAGTAAATAGGTAAAAGATGAATGAGTCGTTAAGCAAATTTATCCCTTTTAATCTTTACAATATAAAAATAATACAAAAAAATATTTCGACTCTATCTTATTTCTTTGCTTCAACAAAATTTTGAATTTTGTGACTTATTCAATCCAATTCAATCCCAAGCACTTGATTTATTCTAAGAATAAACTTTCAATTAAAAAAGAGTTATGAAAGGAAATCAAGATATATATCCAAGCAATAGCCCGTTAACACAAGTTAGTGGACCGGGCTGGCTCCATTTAAAATGCAGGTGCTTGTTTGAATTACCAACTTTACTTGAGATTAAAAAAAAAATGTTTCTAATTTTTCCTAAAACAAGTGGGAGTGTTTAAGAAACTTGTCGCTGAAGAAAGCGGAGTTGGGCAATTTAGTTGCTAATAATCCTATATCAATTTGGAAACAAACCACCACCACCCAATCTCCATATATACTTGTTAGTCGCATCCCTAACTCTACACAACTCTAAAACCCTAGCTACTTCTTCTCTTTAAGAAACTATTGCTCATCACTGAATCAATTGCCATGGACGAAGAAGCAATTGAAGTCCATTACGAGGACAGGCACTTCAGCTGTAAAGCTTACCCTTACCCCAGATTTACTAAAAGGCTTCCATGATGATGATGATGATGGTGATGATGATGGTGAAAGGCTTCGGGTCAACTTTGACTGCGAAGTCAACCACATATACTATGATGTTCGTTCCCCAGATGATATTGGAACCAGTCGTCCAAAATTCACCTATCAATGCCTCGAACAACATAAAAAAACAATCTATCTTGAACAAAGTTTGTTAGAGAACTACCAGGATTTGTCGTATCTTGTTCTTTCTAAGGCGATGTTGTCTTTCGGGATCACAAGAGATCGTTTTGTGCGGGATATAGGATGAGATTGTAAAGCGGGGTCGCGAAACTCGCCCCAAAAAGTTTCCCAACAGGCTTGCATGCTATTTGGACTGCACGTTTGTATTCTTAAAAGACCATCGCATGTATCGGTGCCAGCAGTGTTTGGTGGCTAGCGTTATGAGGGAGTCACTGGCGGCAGCGGAGGTCAAGATGGTGCCGGCGAGTGAGTCATCCATCAAGAAGGTCCTAAAGAAGGTTATAGTTGGTCAAGGGGGAGAGTCAATAAGGAGAAATTATCTGAGTGTAAGTGATGATGTGAAGGAGGAGGAAGAGGGTGGAAAGAGAAAGAGGAGGAGGATTAGTGTGAGTGAAAGTGAGAGTTGCAGTGTTTGTATGGATGAGTTTGAGGAAGGAACAACTGTCACTTGCATGCCATGCTCTCATGTGTTTCATGGCGAGTGCATAGTAAACTGGCTCAGACAAAGTCACTACTGTCCTGTTGCCGCTTTGAGGTGCCGACTGATTGATGAAAACCTTTGCTTAATTGGTTCGATGTAACTTTGAAGTTGGTCATTCTTTTAAGATCTCCTTGGATTGGATGAATATTATTGTAACTTGTAATTGAATTACATATATAAATATATATGATCACTACTACATTTTTCACTTTGCGCGACGAAGAAAATTTCGTCGCGCAAAATACATTATAGTCGCACAAATTTTAGCGCGACAGAAACTTCGTCGCGCAGATTCCGTCGCGCAAAGATCGTGGAGAAAGACTTTGCGCGACGAAATTTTTTCATTCGTCGCGCAAAGAGACTTTGCGCGACGAAAAAATATTGGTCGCGCAAAGTGACTTTGCGCGACGAAACATATTGGTCGCGCAAAGTAACTTTGCGCGACGAAAATATTGGTCGCGCAAAGCGACTTTGCGCGACGAAAAAATATTTGTCCCGCAAAGCCACTTTGCGCGACGAAAAATATTGGTTGCGCAAAACTTTGCGCGACGAAAAAATTTTAAAATTTTTTTTAAAAAAAATTCCCTCGTCCCATTTTTAGTACCCGCCCAAATTTTTAGAGTTTTGCGCGACGAATATTAATGTCGCGCAAATATTTGCGCGACGAAATATTTGGTTTTTGACTTTTTGTTTTATTATTTCTTTAATATTAATTTAATTATATTAATTATTTCGAATTTTTAATTTTTAAATTAAATTTAATTGTATGATTTTTTTCGTTACTTTAATTTAAATTGATATTAATTTAATTATATTAATTTATTCAAATGTTTACTTTTTAAATTTAATTTAATTACTTTAATTTAAATTGACATATTCAAAATAAAATTACATATGAAAAATAGTGATCAAATTATCCAATAAATATATATATATAATATTCAAAATGTACACATAAATTAACAAAGTACAATAAATAAAAAAAAGGGATAATCTCCCCTAAAATTGTTATACCACAAATCCAACCCAAACTCCAATCCCTCCCCTTTACTCAACCCCAAACCCCACACAAACTCAAAACTAACTCCAAAAACACATATTAATGAAAAAAAAATTAAAATTTGGAGAGAATCTACCTTTTGGCAAGATTGAGAGTGAGTGAGAATGAGAGAGAGAAATGAGTGTGAGAGAATTAGAGAAGATAGTGATAGAGAGATGAGAGAGTGAGTGAGAGTGAGAGATAGTGAAAAGAGAGATGAGAGAGTGAGTGAGAGTAAGAGATAGTGAAGAGAGAGATGATGAGAGATTAAGTGAGAGGAGTGAGAGTGAGAGAAATGGTGAGATTTGGGGAGAGGGAAAGAGAGAGGAGAGGAAAGAGTAGAGAAAGACATTGAGAAAATGATGGAGGAGTTATTTTATTTTAAAAACCGTATCACTTTGCGCGACGAACGACATTGTTGGTCGCGCAAAGCTTTGCGCGACGAAAAATATATTGGTCGCGCAAAGTTTTGCGCGACGAATATTAGTATATTGGTCAAAAAAAAAAATCCCGCGTCCCATTTTTGGTACCCGCCCAAATTTTGAAATTTTTGCGCGACGAAAAATATATATTGGTCGCGCAAAGTCTAAAAAAATTAAATAAAAAAATTCCCGCGTCCCATTTTTGGTACCCGCCAAATTTTTGCGCGACGAAAATATATATTGGTCGCGCAAAGTCTAAAAAAATTTTTTTTTCCATCCCGCGTCCCATTTTTGGTACTCACCCAAATTTTTAAAGTTTTGCGCGACGAATTGTTGGTCGCGCAAACTTTTGAGAGACGAAAAATTGGTTCATAGCACGATATTTATAAAAATAATTGTTATGAATAATATTTTTTTTTTTTTTTTTTTTTTTTTTAAAATATAAATAAGGTTAAAGCTACTTAATAAATGTATATACCAATTTCTTAAGTGTTATACGTACAAAATAAATAAATTTAAAGCTACTTAATAAGTAAATATATATATATATATACACACACCATTCAACGATCCAACCGTCAAACTTGTTTGTATATACTTCAAGATCGTATACCCCCAAAATTGTAAAAAAACAAACATTCGGAGACCTAGTAACGGGACAAAAAATTTCAACGGTTCTTAATGAAAAATCACGATTTAACGATTATTTTAACTCCGATTTTGATGATTTTTTACAGCTACACTCCTTGACCTTATATGAATACAATGAACTAATTCGATCGTCAATTTAAAATATTTACACTAGTGGATACCACAAAATCTTATGTTATACTTAACAAAAGTATAAATAAACTCTTAATTGTTAGTGAATATATTGTTTTGATGGCATACGCATTCAAAAAAACAAGTTTCAACGATCCAACCGTCAAACTTATTTGTTTATACTTCGAGATCATATACGCCAAAAATCGCAAAAAATAAACATTCAGAGATCAAGTAACGGGACAAAACTTTTCGACGGTTATAAATGAAAAATCTTGATTCAACGGTTATTTTAACTCCGATTTTGATGATTTTTTACCGCTACACTCCTTTACCCTATATGAATACAATGACTGAATTTGATCTTCAATTTAAAATATTTACACTAGTGGATACCACAAAATCTTATGTTATATTTAACAAAAGTATAAATAAACTCTTAATTGTTAGTGAATATATTGTTTTGATGGCATACACATTCTATGAAACTAGTTTGAACGATCCAACCGTCAAACTTGTTTGTTTATACTTCGAGATCATATACGCCAAAAATCGCAAAAAATAAACATTCAGAGATCAAGTAACGGGACAAAACTTTTCGACGGTTATAAATGAAAAATCATGATTCAACGGTTATTTTAACTCCGATTTTGATGATTTTTTACCGCTACACTCCTTTACCCTATATGAATACAATGACTGAATTTGATCTTCAATTTAAAATATTTACACTAGTGGATACCACAAAATCTTATGTTATATTTAACAAAAGTATAAATAAACTCTTAATTGTTAGTGAATATATTGTTTTGATGGCATACGCATTCTATGAAACTAGTTTGAACGATCCAACCGTCAAACTTGTTTGTTTATACTTCGAGATCATATACGCTAAAAATCGGAAGAAATAAACATTCAGAGATCAAGTAATTGGACAAAACTTTTCGACGGTTATAAATGAAAAATCACGATTTAACGGTTATTTTAACTCCGATTTTGATGATTTTTTTATAGCTACACTCTTTGACCCTATATGAATACAATGAACTAATTCGATCGTCAATTTAAAAAATATATTTTCTAATAAAAACCCAATCCAAAAAACAATAATATATTTTTCTAACAAATATTTTAAAAAATATTTATTTATTTTATTTATTTTTATAAGGACTTTGCGAGACGAAGTTAATTGTTTCGTCGCGCAAAGTAGCTTTGCGTGACGAATTGTTTTTCGTCGCGCAAAGTCGCTTTGCGCGACGAACTGTTTTTCGTCGCGCAAAGTTACTTAGAGCGACGAATTTTTTTTCGTCGCGCAAAGTTACTTTGAGCGACGAATTTTTTTTCGTCGCGTCGCGCAAGACTTTGAGCGACGACGTATTGTCGTCGCGCAAAAGTTGGTCGCGCAAAGTCGCTTTGAGCGACGAAAAAAAATTCGTCGCGCAAAAGTTGGTCGCGCAAGGTTTTTAGCGACGGAGTTTTGAGTTTCGTCGCGCAAAGTGTCTTTGCGCGACGAAAAATTATTCGTCGCGCAAAATTTGGTCGCGCAAGGGTTGTTTTGTAGTAGTGGATCCATTATGGTTTAATATTGTCCCCTGCTTTGCTTTGGTTTTTTACTCTTCGGGCTTAATTTGTTGTTCCTTGGTTAATTTTGAAGTTCTTCTGATCATATAAGCGGTAACTTTTTAGCCAGTAAATAAATTCACCATGGATACTAGCGCAACATACATATATAGGATATAGCATTAAAAGTTGCAGGTTGTTGAATTGAGAGATAATAACATCAACAAAACATCCATGATCACCATAAAGTAAAACCCAGCTTAACCATATTTATTGTGATTCCTAGCTAGCTATATCTTGTTTAATATACTAAAGTAATGACCTTCCTAGCTAGCTAGATCTTGTTTATTCCTCATCATCCACAGCATCAATGCCACATCTCTGAACTCTTTTCCCAAATTGTGCTTTGCCAAATTCCACCTCTGTGTCTCTGGTGTGGTTTTGGATTTTAGACGCAGTTATTTAAGGCACTAGTAGCCAGACATTGAAGTGCACATTGGTACAGCCATTACAGCTATTGAGAATTACATGATGTGGGTTAGCCAGGGTCCACACCCCTCATGCCCTTGTAAAGCAACCTTATCAACTGGATAATAACACATTTTTAATCTGCTGGGTGTTAATTCTTGTTAATGAATCTCCTTAAAGCAAATCAGGTTTGTGTGAAAATACTTGATTTATGGCACTACCAATAAACTTTGCCAAGTCTAAAGAAAATCTTAGTGAGTAAAATGCGCAAGTGCCTTGTAGTTCAACCTATGTCTTCAGTGTTCATTTCCCCTCTCCTATTATTGCTTGTAAAAAGGAAAAAAGAAAAAGGAAAAAGTGAAAAGTACATAGAGGTGGCTTCCCTAACTCACTCACCCTAGGATGCATGCCAATGGGTGAAACCCTAGGATTTATGACAATGGGTGAAAGTTGGAAACTGAGGACATTTTTACTGAAGATGGAAGTGGTCCTAGAATGAGCCTCTTCTAGAATTTCATAAGGAGATTCTCGGATGAAGGATCGTTCTATTTTGTCAACTCCATGATGTTTTTTTTATTTAGTCGGCAGGTTGAAATTGAAATTATACGGAATAAAAAGCCCATGGACCACATGCTGCAAGAGTCCAATGAATGCAAGCAGCTAGGAAGTGTGAGCTAGCTAAGGGTCCCCACAAACACTTCAGCAGATAGAAAGTAGAGAGAGGCATATAATCTCCAATGAAGTGTTTGAGGGAACTCTAGGGGCCATTTGATGCTTTGTTAATCGATCTTTACTTAACTTGAGCTTTGGTTGCTGCTTTGGTTCGAATGGTTCCTAAGCAACCCACCCAAGTATTTATAGAGAGAGTTGCTGTGCATGCCTTTGCATTCTATTCAAAGACAATTATTGTACTCTGGAGTGAACCAAGACGTAAGTGTGAGCTAGCTACATGGGAAAAGTTGGTAACACTAAAACTAAGGAATATCAACTTCGAGTAGCCACATGCTAGCCAGTCTGCTCATAAATCAAATTCTACTCTTTCACCCATAAATTCCTCTGTCCAGCCAGTAATTTTCAATTTTCATTTTATATATTTACTTTGATAGATACACTACATACCAATACTTTTAATTATGTGATGTGGATATGCTACAAGAAAAGTTATGCTCAAGTTGATGCAGAAGAGCATGTGGCAAATGAGAGCCCGACGTGCTTCAATTGCAGTCACCATATATATGTGTGTGTGTGTGTATATATATATATATCAGAACTAACCTTCTTGTTTGTTGGCTTGGCAGCATCTGACGTCTGAATTAAAAGCATGTGCAGCTGCTAAGTAAGAGTTCAACGTGTCCTCTATCTGTTACGTTGATCTGATATATCCATCTGCTATCAAATAGAGATTCATGAGGTTGAGGAGGATGCGCCTCGGAAATTCAAGATGCTTCTACTTCTACTTTATTCATTTTACTCATATTTCTGTCTAGGTCAAATTTCAATACAACTTACTTAATTAAGATGTTTGCGTCTGGTTATTCTGACACTCTTCATGTTAACTCGTCTCAAAGAAAGACAAAGATCCTCTGCCCAATCTCAGAGCCAAGTGGTACAAGTAAACTAGCTTATCAAACTTCCCATTTGCTAATATCAGGGACATGTGTCAATTCTCATCTGCAGATCTAATATCTTAGCCACCAGTACTTTTTAATAATCACAGATGCCAGACTACAATATGCCAAATGCATGTTTGATCAAATGTAGTGTTTATCTTTTATGTCTATGATGATGGTCTCAAAGATGAGGTTTGTGATTGAGAGTATGCTGGTTCTTACTGCTTCTCTGATTGTAAGTGGTGATAAGATAGTACCTAAAACACAGGCAGGAAAGTTGGCTAACAAAATAATTGTCTTCTGTCTTTCTCCTGTCTCTGATCTCCATGTTCATCTTCTGTCTTTATTTTTCCTAAGAAAGTGGCCTAATCAACTCATTATGCTCAACATGGTACTGAAACTAGTAACTTTTTGTTCTGTTTTAAATCTTTCTGTACTGTATTTAATTTAGTCCATTATCTTTTCCTATTTGATTCTTATCCAAATAGGGGTGATATGCCTACCTAATTAGGGTGACAAGCATGGAAATGTTTGTGGGCGCCAAGGCCGTTACTTTCTCGGCTGAGTCAGCGATAATGGTCGAAGCTAATGCGGCTCTTGAGGGTTGTCTCTTTGCAATGGAGCTGGGTCTTGTGTGTGGACAGCATCAATGGCAACATCCGAAGGGGACGATGGTGTATGTGCCCCATTCTCACTAAAATTTGCGATTATCATCACAACTTCAACCATTGCACCTGGACTTGGACGCGCAGGTCTGGAAACGAAGCAGCAGATCGTTTGGCAGCTGTCGCACTATCGAGGTTGAGCCCAGAAGTCTAGACATCCAGACCCCCCACCTCACTTGTGCATGTTCTCAACAACGATGGTCTCCCTTGCCAGCCAACAAGTACCCAATGCTGTGTGCCGGTCTGGATGGCTCCGACGAGCTTGAGGTTGTCTTGTTGTCTCTCACCTAGCAATTGGTTATCTAGACGCGGTCCTTGTGCTGTGTTAGGTGTTTTTAATATTGTTTCCTTTGTTTTGCTGTCTGTACTCAGTGATCACGTGCTGGCCAGTTTGATAATTTGGGAGTCTCTTCTTTTGGGTTCTCCCCTATTATATGAAGTTCGGTTAATCCAATTTGACCCAAAATAAAAATAAAAATCAGGGTTTAGTAAGACTCCACTGAATTAAAGAGGAAATGCCAATATAGGATCAAAATCCCAATTCCCTGAACAAGTTCAAAACCTTATATGGAAAACATAGAATGCAGAGAGCAGCATCATGAACCAAACACCAAAACAGCAGAAAATGGCTGGTCTAGCCAACCAGAGTTCCCCCAAACACTTCATTAATGGGGTACAATATATCTCCTTTTTTCTTCTTAAGGGAATGCAAGCAACTCAGTATCCACTATATATAGTCAAAGGGATCGATCATGAAGGGCATATATATCATTTGATATAGACTTCATTTATAAAACGGTGGGCTTCATCAGAATGGGAGGACCAGTAGAGAAAAGAAAAATGGCAGAGTTGAAGTTTTGAAAATTGAACCTGGTCAGGATTGCAGTCACTGGAGAGAACAAAAGTGAAGTGAGTGGTCTGTGGCCATAAGCTCTCACAAGTCTCAACCCTTTGTTCTCTTTCATATCCCAACCTGTTCCTTTCAGCATTTTCTTGGATGCAAAAGCATACATTTTGTTGAAGAATATGAATCTCACACCGAAAACTTGACTAAATAAAATACAAAATATAGTGAATGGTTCTACTACTAATAACACCGAGGCCTTTTATGATAAAACCACACACCTACTGGGTTTTGTAGGTAGTTAAGTTGGGGACAATATCGGTGTTGTTAGTGGTAGGCCGCTGGTCCATCTCTCTGAATTTAACATGGTATCAGAGCGAGTTGATTGATTGGGCCTGAATTATTGGGCCTTTACCCTTACCCCTTATCCAACATGTAGTGTTCACATGTTGGGCTTGAATGTTTACCCTTACCTAATACATGGTGCTCACGTATTGGGCTTGAATGTTTGACTCCGATATAGACTTGGCCCCATATGTGGCCTACTATGTGATGGTCCCACGTAAAGGGGGCGTGTTGAAGAATATGAGTCCCACCTTCCAGAAGCAGGTCTTAGCAGTAGCCACAACACATATGAGGTTCTGATCAGCCCTGAGGCAATCTGATAGATTTCCTTGAGAATAAGTGTGGGCCAGGTAATTATTAAGAATGGCACATGACAATCACCTCAATATTATTCCTTTCTTCCATCTAGCCTCCAATGTCGTCTAGGTTCATTACTTAAAGATCGGTTTCCTCCGATTTTCTTCCTATTGAACAAGGACAAGGAAATAAGGAACATGCAATGCAACATAAACACAACCAAATGCAAAGAGGGTCAGACACTATATATATAGCAGAGGTAGTTGCAACTCATAACCAACAAACCAAAACAAGCTTTGAAAGAAGCAGAAAGAAAGAAGTAAGAACTTTGTCAGGTGTCACCTAGAGTTCCCTTGACCACTTCATTGGGAAATAATTCTTTCTGATCAATTATATATCCTACTGAAGTGTTTGGGGGAACTCCTGGTGGCATTTGATTTTACAAAGACCAAAAAGGCTTATCCGTCGCAATGTACTTCTTGTAGAAGCTGTGATGAAAAAAGAGGAAATATTGTTAGGTGTCAACGAGAGTTCCCTTGACCACTTCATTGGGAAAAAATTCGCTCTGATCAATTATATATCCCACTGAAGTGTTTGGGGGAACTCCTGGTGGCATTTGATTTTACAAAGAAGAACAAAGCGCTTACAAGCTTTCCACATATCCACCGCCATGGATTTCAAGTTTTAGTCCCCCATCGCACTGTATTTGGTGTATGAAGCTCCGGTAATGATCCAGTTTGCTACATTTCTCTTTTTGCAGCTAATCTTAAACTGTATGCATACACACTTTATTTTTCATGAATTGATCAGCATGGAATAACACTGGACAGTTCTGCGGCAACAGCAGCAGCGCAATAAGGAGTTATTCTCAGCAATATCATACAATAACTGGTTCTTATATTTTCTTTTCAAAAACTCCATTAATCATTGCCTTTTTCTATTTTGTTTTGTTTGCCACAAGAGATCAACAACAGGAGAAAACCAAATCAAGATAGACAGTTGCAGCAAAACAGTCCAAGAAGGGACGAACCTGACAGAGAAGTTTGTGCCTAAAACCAGAGACTGAGGACAATAGGACTTGTTGGCTGCCTCTGTATTGCCCACTAGACCATTAATTCTTTGGCCAAGAATGCTACAGAATATTAGAAGCAAAAGTGGAAAAGTCAGCCATCGGATTTACAGACAACAAAGCAAATTAAGGAAAACAAGTTATATTATGTTTAATTTTCTTCCTAGATTCCATAATTTTACATTGAATTAATCTTTGGTTCTGTTCAAACAAAATACTAAAACTTGCCATGGCCATTGTTACCTCATGGTGGCTGATGAGGTCATCATCCTGAGGGAAGTTGAGGAGGAACCTCCTCATCACATAGACAGTTAAGTTGAATTACGCCCAAATGAGCCAATACAAGGTTTCCCGTATTCCTTTTTTTGTCACAAATTTCCAGTATCAATATTATAGAAATTTTCTATTTAAACCTCAGACTTCTCTTTATTCACCCCATGTTCTAAGCTCACCCCAACTTCTAATTTAAATTTTCACAATTTTTAAGAAAACCCCACTATCTTCCCAAACTACCCTTAAATACACCCCAAGCTGAAAAAATAAGAAATAAAAAAGTTTTTCTATTTAAACCCCACACTTTTCTTTGTTCACCCAAATACTTAAATCATTAAACAATATTTGTAGTGTACATAAGATTTTGTTGTTTTCACAAGGCTGTTTTTATCTTGTGATTAGATCATATGGAAAATTGTAGTTTGTTTGGTTTCGCTTTATGATGATAGTGAAAACCAATGACCACAACATTAGCAATAAGACTATGTATCTATAGGAACATGGTTCCTGTGCCCTTCATCATACTTTACTTGAAGAGATTTGCATCTTTCCTTGCTGGAAAGAACAAGGCCGCAGCTCGGTTCCTTAACATACTGTTTGTGAGAGCCAAAGAGAAAGCTGGCCCTGTAGAGGAGTTCCAATGGCTTGGTCTGATGTTGTTTGTGGTTGTGCCTTTCCCTGGAACAGAAGCATGGACAGGAGCCATCTTAGCTTCCATTCTTGATATGCCATTCTGGGCAGCAGTGTCTGCAAATTTCTTTGGTGTTGTATTGGCTGGGCTTCTAGTAAATTTGCTAGTGAACCTTGGTCTCAAATATGCAATTATCACTGGTATTATTCTCTTCATTATATCCACATTCATGTGGAGCATCCTTCGGAACCTTAGGAAGTCTTTAAGCTCATCAAGTTGATATGACATTGGAAATTCTTAAAGTAATCCAATCCCTCACAAAGGGTAATTGATGATCCTTGAATTTTGAGATTGTATGATCCTTGAAAAGTGGTAGGAGTGTGTGAGGTGTGTGAACAAATAGATGTATTATGGTTAAATATTAAGTTGAATGACCTTTTTTGTCTTTTTACACAATAATAAAACTGACAGCTTAAGAATTTAAGTATTGGGGTGAATAAAGAGAAGTGCGGAATTTAAATAGAAAAACTCATATTATATCACTATAAATAAAAAAAGAGAAAACTCTAGAGAAATTTTTAATTAGGGTTTCATGCTGGAGAGAGAGGAAAGAGAAAGTCATACAACCCCGTTTAAGGAGTTGATTGACAAAAGGAGTGGGCCCAATGTTAAGATTTAACATCCAAAAGCACTACGGCCCCAACAGAAAAAATATCCAAACGAAGTTGTTCCAGTAGAAATGAGATGGGCTCTGGAGGAGGTGGTCCAAAACAAAATACTTTCACGCAATCACCCAAAATAATCAGAGAGCTGTTATGCTCTTGGATCCTAAAATTAGGATTTTGCCCTTAAAAAAATCTAAAATCGTAATTGACTAAATATTATTGCAAGGAAAATACTTCTCTCATTCCCAAATAGGAATTCTATATTCCCAAGTATGATATGTGTGCATAAGTTTTCTTTTTGTGTTTTTGATGAATTATTTTTGCACATATGCAAACAGTGATTTCCCAAAAGGAAGAGTATCTCATTCCAAGGAAAGAGGCAAACAATATCCTTATTCCAATCGTTGACTTCACTCATGCAATCAATCAACTAGATAAATGAAGGTCCACACTAATTAAGAGTTGACTCGGTCAAATACATGTGAAATTGGTACTTAGGTGAAGGGGGGTAAATTAAAACCCTAATTGGAAATATCTATGACAACAATGCTTAAATAATCCTGGAGACAATATGACTAGTCAACTACTAGTCATAGACTTATGAATAAACAAGTAAAGCACATACTCATCATAAATCAAATAGAAGATGTCACATCCTAGGATCAGCTTTGCCATAGTAAGATATTGTCCGCTTTAGGCCTCCCTCTCTGCTCTCACGGTTTTGTTTCTAGGAACTCACGAGCAACTTCCCAGTGGGTCACCTATCCTTGGATTGCTCTAGCCCCAACTCACTTAACTTCGGAGTTCCTATGGCTCCGAAGCCAATGAGCTCCCAAAAGGCCTTGTGCTAGATGGAGGCGGGCATATACATATAAGGCACATCACTCCCTCTCCGTTGGTCAATGTGGGATGTTACAGGAGATAACTATGTGACAACCTAGGCACTAAGAAGGACTCGTCAATTTAGGCATCCCTATGTTAGCAACAACTAGAGTGATATGTGTGCGAACATTCATCAGCATTTTAGGGATAACATATACAGTATGGCTAGTCATAAAATCAAGGACAACACACCAGAAATGTTCACCCATAAACCCACAATTGAGAAAAGCTAGGGGTCATCACTTCAACTAGGCAATCCACTAAGTAAAGAAGATTCTTACAAGTAAAAATAATCACCAGCTCAAACAATCCTAGATCTATTAAGGAAATGGGCACTACCTCCCTGTGCAACCTTCTTTTCCAAACTTAGTTGAGCTAGTAGCTTGTCCTTCATGGAAATGACAGCAAGTCCATCAGCTTTTTCACCCTATGGCACCGCAACTCAGCTTCGAATCGTCACCAATGAATGAAATATAGATTCTAGAATGAAATTGTCAATTTCTTCAAGAGACTACCTTCTTGAAGAAACCAACAGAGAATCTGATCTAGCTAGGGGTGATGAAGTGTTTAAACTAAACCCTAGATGAAGATTTCAAAAACCAATTTTCAAAAACTCATAATGAAAATCCAAATCTCACCAAGTAGAGAATGCAAAGTAAAAGTTTCACTCTAAAGAATTTTCAATGGGTGAAGTGGATTTCAAAGATCAAAGCATATTTTAAAAAACAATTTTAAAACCTCATAATGAAAATGGAGACTTTCCTCAAAGAAGAAGATGCAGAGCAAAACCAAAACTCTCAAAAACCTTTCTCTATAAAAGTGACGCCGTTTTGGACAAGGTGTTGCTTATTTTATTTTTTGTTAAACCTGGCCAAAACGAAGTCGTTTTGGACCAAGGTTTTAAAAAAGGAAAAAAAAAGAAAAAAAAAGGAAAGGAAAGGGGAAACTGCTGGGCCATTCGTGGGCTTCTAAAAGGGCTTTCTTATCTACTTAGGTTTTAATTGGGACTTCTCTTTATTTAATTGGGTTTTCGGAATTCCTTATTTAAGTGGGATTGTGAATTCTCTTCATAAAAAATCAATTAACATCACCCAATTTCATCAAAGTGAGTGTGCATTACAAGAATCCTGCGTTGTATTTTTCCTTCTTGAGTACGTCAATCCAAAGTAAGTCAAAAGCATTTTTTTTTCTTGAGCAAACGCCAATTTTTTAATTCTTTTTTTATTTAATTTTAAATAAATTCTTTTTTCTTATTTAGCTCTCTCTATATTAGTAAGATCAGTAGCAAACTCGAGGAGGAAAAGGCTACGTGACACGCTATTCGAGGAATAATTAATTTTTATTTGTTTATTTAATTGATTAATTGATATTGATTTGCATTGGGAATTACAAATGATTTGTCAAATGCATTACAAAAGAAATATCAAGATATTGTGAATGCAATATGATGTTGGTCCAAAGATGTAAGCAAAACTACAATTCATGAGGGATGATGACTTTGATGATTTGCTTGGTGAAGTATCAATATTTTGTGGCAACAATGATATTGACGTTCATAACATGGATGATTTATTTGTACTACAAAAGGAGATCTCGACGTAAAGCTCAGAAAATCACAAACCGCCATTATTATCTTGTGGACCTATTTCTTACTATCATTGATAAGCAACTAGTGGAATTAAATAATTGCTTCACTGAGGTAAATACTGAATTGCTTCTTTGTATGGCATGTTTGAGTCCGGCTTATAATTTTGCAGCTTTTGACAAACAAAAAAAACTTCATTTTGCTAAATTTTACCCTCAAGAATTTAATGACCGAGACCTCATGAAGCTTGAAGATCAACTTGGGCTTTATATTGTTGATATGCATAGCAGCACTGAGCTTTCATAATTGAACGGAATTACTAATCTGGCAGCAAAATTGGTGAATACAGGAAGGAGTATAATATACAACTATGTGTATTTACTTCTTACATTGGCTTTGGTTTTACCCGTTGCAACTGCTTCGGTTGAGAGAGCTTTTTCAGCTATGAATATTGCAAAAATACCATTGCGTAACAAAATAGGGAATCAATGGGTAAGTGATAGCTTGGTTGTTTACATTGAGAAATATGTTTTTTCTTGTATTAGCAATGCAAATATAATGCGACGTTTTAATGATATGAAACCTCGTCAGTAACAATTGTAGGTTAATTGTAATGTTATTTTTTTCAAGTAATTATGAATAACATTAGTATTGTTTCAATTATAAGGATATTTAGTTGTTCTTTTTTTTTGTTTTTTGTTTTTTTTGAGCTCTTAGCTTTTAAAAATTGCACATCCGCTAAAAAATTCATGGGTCCTCCGCTTCTTCAAACAACCAAAGCAATTCTCAAACTCTAGTTTCCAGCCGCGACTAATTTCTATGGAAGACTTCCCTGCCAATGCCATCCATCACTAGCGTGAACGCTTCAGCTTCAGCTTCGATGACATTACCGCATAACTAAACAACCCTTTTCGTGTTCATAATAAGAACCGTTCATCAGTGCAGCCAGTTAAGTTTCATGTCAAGATTGTGCACGATTCCCATTACAAATACGTCAATTGTTCCTTGAACTGTACTGAAACCACCATAAGAGAATATGTGGAAAGAAAGAAAAGAAAATGCCGATTCGACATGGACAAATTAGAGAATTTCCGCGAGGCACACGGGACTCTTTCTCATATTATAGTGTAGGGTCTCATACTTGGCAATAAGCTCAACAGCATGGGTCGTAAGGTGTTGGGGTTGTGCGTATATATGAGAACAGAGCAAGTCAAGAGTCGCTGTGAGTCGTGTACGCAATTACTGGAGATAGTAATGAGTAGTAGTAGTAATAATGAGGGCATGGTGCCGGCGAGTGGTTCAGCGGTCGAGACGGTACTAAAGAGGGTTCGAGTGGGTTCAGATGACAAAGAAGCATCATGTTGTGAGGAGGAGGGTCGAGAGAGAAAGAGAAGGAAAGTTTGTGTAAGTGAAAGTGATAGTTGCACTGTTTGCATGGAAGAGTTTAATGGAGGATCAGAAGTAGCTTGCATGCCTTGCTCACATGTGTTTCATGACAAGTGCATAAGGACATGGCTCAGACAAAGTCACTACTGCCCGGTTTGCCGATTTGAAGTGCCAACTGCTGATTGAAGAAAATCTTGCTTAATTTGGATGTACTCCTTTAAAGTTCATCATTCTAAGATCTTCTTGGATGAAAGTATATTGTAATTGAAATATTAAATATTAAAAAATAAAAATTTGTTGATTCTTTTATGATTTGATTGCTCAAGCGTGTTAATTTGTCAATTGTTGCTTTGTTTCTCTGTTGGCTTGTTTATTTTTGTGTTATTTACTTTTGATAATATGCATTTCTTTTAATTTATACTTAGCCGGAAAAATCATCCATCATATCATTATCAAAATGCACCGTTTAAGACGAAGAATAAGACTTTCTATCTAAACTAAAACGATAATTAAAGAACATATATACACTAGGGACAATTCAATTAGGATTAGATCACCATCAGTATCTGGTAATCTCTGATATTCGCTACCACGAGATAGTAAAGTAATTGATGCAATTGTAATTACAAATCAATCGCCATGCTATCACTCAAAAAATATGGTTCTCTAGTATTAATCTACTAAGCGAAATTGCCTTCAGCTGCTTTCCAAAAGAATTTCAAGCTCCAAGCCTTAAGCCCTCTCCAAATATTCTTCTATTTTTGTCCTTTTTGGCTGAGAGAACTTTACTTCCAAGTAAAATTTTACAAATTTTCATAATTAATTAGTTGGAAAATTAATCAGAACTCTGTTGTCTTCGGATATATTATCCCAAAAGAAGTCGGAAACCAAAAGGTTCCTACCGAAGAAACCAAGTCTTGACTGGGTTCTTTAACAGTTTGTTAATCCTACACCAACTTGGAAACTACCCACCTCTACAATATAAAATCTAAAACCTTGCCCATACTTACTAGGCAGCTACGAACCTCTGCTTCTTTCAGTCATGGAAGTCGAAGATTTTGAAGTCCATCACGAGAAGGATAGCTTGGACTTTTACGTGCTACTGCTTGCCCCATACTTACTAGGCAGCTACGAACCTTCATCGCCGGCTCAGTTTCTGGTCAAGTTTGACTACCAAGTCAACCACATATACTACGATATTCATTCATCAGATGATATTGGAACTCGTCGTGAAACCCTCGTCGACCAATTTCAAGAAAAAAATGAAAAAACAATTGAATTTGAGAAGCCTGTGTTGAGGAAGTGCGGCAAGTCGTACGAGTTTCTTTCTCAGGTGTTGTTGTCCTTTGGAATTGCAAGTTCAGATGAGAATTAATGCTGGGTTGCATGATCAAATACTGGATGGGATTATAAAGTGGGGTCGCAAAATTCGACCGGAAACTTTTTCCTACGAGCATCCAGAGGCATGGGGGTTGTATGTTCATATTGGAAAAGACCATGCCATGTATCGGTATGAGGAGTGTTTGAAGGGTAAGGTTAGGAAGAAATCAATGGCAGCGAGCAATTATAAAGGTATGGTATCGATCAAGAAGGTACTAAAGAAGGTCATAGATGGTAAATTAGGATCAAGTGATGATGTGAAAGAGGAGGGTACAAAGAGAAAAGGAAGGAGAATGACCGGAAGTGATAATGTGAAGGAGAAGGGTAGGGAGAGAAAAACAAGGGGAATAAGTGTAGTTGACGATGAGGAGGAGGAGGGTACAACAAACAGAAAAAGAAGGAGACGCGTGGTAAGTGATAATGTGAAGGAGAAGGGTACAAAGAGAAAAACAAGGGGAAGTAGTGGAAGTGAAAGTGAGAGTTGCAGTGTTTGTATGTAGATGACTAAGAAAAAGTCGTGATTGATTGTTCCGTGGTTCCTTTAAATTTGATTGTTTTGAGGTTTCCTTGGATCGATGAATTGTTGTTTAGTATTTGTTGGTTTTGTTCATATGTGATGCAGTTTTTCTTTTAGCCCTAAATTCATCGTCATACTATACATATAGCACTTTTAGATTTGCAGGTTGAATTGAGAAATAAAATCAACACTTAATTATGAGATCCTTTAATTTTTGTTTAACATACCAAACCACTTTTCCACTCAAAAAAAAAAAAAAAAAAAAAAAAAAAACAACAAAAAATAAATACCCAACTAAAGTAACGACATTCCACAAGAAATCTAGCAGAATTGGGGAAAAAAAATAATTATTATTTTTTTAACTGAACATAATTGGTTATCAAGCAAATGAATAAATCAAGCAGAACAATACTACTTACTTTAATATTGCAGCCAGCTATAGCTCATCCACATGTGGTAGGAAATATATCGATCAAATGACTCCAAGGGTCCCCCCAAACACTTCAGTAGAAAGTAGATAGAGAGAGAGGCATAATTAAGATAATGCCCATAATAATCTCCAATGAAGTGTTTGAAGGAACTCTAGGGGCCATCCGATGCCTTGTTCATCGACGTTTTACTTAACCTATAGCTTCGGTTGCTGCCTTGGTTTCGAATGGTTCCTAAGCAACCCTACTATTTATAGAGAGAGTAACGTTGTTGTCTTTGCATTGAGCTGATCAATATATTGTTTTGCGTTCAAAGATCACAGAAAAATTGTCAGTGAACCTAGACGCAACTATGAACTAGCTACATGGGAACATCGACTTCGAATATTCACATGCCAGTGATCTGCTTATAAATTGTACTCGTTCACACATTAATTCCTCTGTCCAGCCTGTAATTCTTAATTTTGTTTGATGCTTTGATAGACAAAAACCCAGTAATTATTCCTAATAAATGGCTGAAAATCACAATTAAAATTATTAAAATGGTTGTCCTTTGTTATATATTGCTGTGACGTAGATGCTGCGTTAAAAAGGTTGTTCAAGTTGATGAACGCATGTGGCAAATGAGGACCTGCCACCATCTCTATGATCTCTATCAAAAAGATTGACGAGGAAGATGCTCCTCGGAAATGCAAGATGCTTGCTGGGAGATAGAGAAAGCTCTGGGGGGCTTGTCGAGCTTTATCACTTACTAGATGTACAACTACTTTATTCTCTACTATTAATCTTCCCCATGTTTCTGTCTAGATTCAAATTTCAACAACTCAATATATATATATATATATATATATATATATTATATGATTACATGGATGGATAGATTTACTCTTTACTTAGCAATTGCTAACTAGTAATTTCTCAGTTTGTTCGTAATTAACTATCCAAACTCTCTGAATTAAGACTCGACTAACTTGGGCAAAATCAAATGTACGCGTTTGCTCAGAGTCCGAATCTTCTGTCCCCAACCTACCTGTCCCCTCATGTCAACTATTTCATATTTTGACATTTGTCCACAAACTTAACAGAAGACAAACTCTGTTAATACTCTTTTCCTTTCATCTTCTTCCATCCCCTCTGTAATTTCATTGATTTCTCCGCCGTTAGTAGTCAGCAGCGGACAAAAAGCCACAATTTCATCCATCTTCTTTTTCTAATTTTTTTTTCCTATCCATTTTTTCCCCTTAGCAAAAAGAAATCCCAACTTCGAAGCTCCCTTCCTAACTTTTGAATCCTTATTTCTAGCAATTGCCCTTTTTCACGTAACCCATAAGCCCATCTGACATTATCAGTATGTTGGAATTTTTTGGTAATACAAGTAGAAAATTGTGTGAGCAAATTTCTCCACGAGAATATTCGATTGGAAATATTCCCATTTCTTCTTCGCCGCTTCTTTCTCCTTGCAAAATAGAACCAATAAGAGACCACACCCGGGGGTGTTGGCCAAAGGCCTTCCGATGCCTAAATTAGTTCAAGAGTTTGTAAGAAAAACACTATCTAATTAGGGTACGGAGATGTGTTTATGGTGTAAACCGAGCGGCCGGAGCCTTATGTAAAAGAGAGAGAGAAAAGAAGTGGATAGGGTTTGAGAGAAATTTTCTGCAGAGTTTCAGTAGAGATTTAGACGTACCTCAACCCTTGTGTGTGGCTATCTTTTTATAGTGGTCTTGGAGGCTAGGGTTTCAAATGAATAATTCCGTAGATGGAAGGGAATTATTCCTCCCCTATTTGGAATTGATGTGATTAATTAGGAATTTGATTTATTAGGGTAAATCAAATCCCTAATTGTAGTAAGTATCAAATCAATTCCTAATTTGATTAGGTAACTCCTCATTTAATTGGGAATTGTGGTAGGAATCAAATCAATTCTCTATTTAATTAGGTAACTTTCAATTTAATTGGGTAACTCCCAATTAAATTGAGTAACTCCCAATTAGGTTGAGTAATTCCCAATTAGGTCAAATAATCTCCGAATGAAAGGAATTATTTGACCTAGGGTCTGATTTAATTCGGTTCCCACAAAAATCACTCAAGATATTATGCAAAGATAAGAGAGAGAGAATTTTGGAATTGGAACTCATAGGTCTTAGCTTCAGAAAGAAGTCTAGACTTGTGAGAGCAACTCACTCTACAAAATATCTATTACAAGCTTAATTGCCCACTTGGTGGTTAGCTTACATATACTAAAAAAATTAATAAATAAAATAAAAGAGTGAAGGAGAGAAGAAAAAGTCTAATAGGAAAAAAAATAAGAGAAAGAGGAAGCATATCTAGTGAGCAAAGAGATAACTCAGTGGCAAGAAAAAAGTAAAGACGTACACAACAATTATATGATACATATATTACCAGAATCTCCATATATATATATATTTGTACCTACATATATATATATGCTTTTTTTCCCTTCAGATTAATATATAGTAAAACATATGAAATCCTTAAAAAAAAAATATTTCTAATATAGAACAAACTTTTTGCCCATGTTTGGTGCCTAAGATTGGGATAGCTCACTATTCAAGGTATGTTGAAGGTGGAAGGCTAACTTCTAGATTTTGTTCAAGTAGGTAAAAGATGAATCAGTCATTAAGCACATTTATCCATTCTAATCCTCATCATAAAATACAAATTAAAAAATATTTTTTTTAACTCCATCTTATTTATTGCTTCAACAAAATTTTGAATTTTGTGACTTATCCAATCCAATTCAATTCTAAGCACTTGATTTATGCTAGGAATAAAATTTCCATTAAAAAAAGAGTTATGGAAAGAAATAGAGATATTGAGTGATATACCCATTCTTAGCACTAATATTATAAATAAACCCTACACCATTGAATTTCTATAAACATACCCAAAAAAATACCCAAAAAATGACAGTTGACCTTATTGAATTTAGTATTGATTATTAAATTACTTTGATGCCTATTGAGTGTTTTGGGTATTTTTATGAGATTTTGGAGTTGGGCTTGTTTTAAGAAATTAATGGCAGTTTTGTAATTTATAAGAAGTTAAAAGCCTCTTCGTTATGTTGTAAATGGGCTTTGGGTGTATTTATAAAGTCCATTTCATATGGGGTATTTTTATAATTTGAGCCCCTATATTGGGTATAATAGTGAATCTCCCAAAGAAATATCCAACATATATATCCAAGCAATCGCTCGCTAACACAAGTTAGTGGACCGGGCTAGCTCAATTAAAAAAAATGTTTCTAATTTTTCCTAAAACAAGTTTAAGAAACTTGTCGCCAAAGAAAGCGAATTTGGAAACAACCCACCACCACCCAATCTCTATATATACTCGTTAGTCCCATCCCTAACTCTACACAAATCTAAAACCCTAGAGCTACTTCTTCTCTTTAAGAAACTATTGCTCATCACTGAATCAATTGCCATGGACGACAAAGCAATTGAAGTCCATCACGAGGACAGGCACTAAAACTTTAAAGCTTTACCCCTTACCCCAGATTTACTAAAAGGCTTCCATCATGATTCATGATGATGAAAGGCTTCGGGTCAACTTTGACTACGAAGTCAACCACATATACTATGATGTTCGTTCCCCAGGTGATGTTGGAACTAGTCGTCCAAAACTCATCGATCAATGTCTCGAACAACATAAAAAAACAATCTATCTTGAACAAAGTTTGTTAGAGAACTACCAGGATTCGTATCTTGTTCTTTCTAAGGCGATGTCGTCGTTCGAGATCACAATCCGACAGGCTTGGCATGCTATTTGGACTGCACGTTTGTATTCTTAAAGACCATCGCAAGTATCGGTGCCAGCAATCAGTGCCGTCCCTGAGATTTTGAGGGCCCTGTGCGAAACTTAAATTGGGCCTCGCATAATCTAATATGAAAATACTATAAAAATTCAAGAAATAACCAATAGCTTGATCCACTAAATACAAGAAATAATCAATTCTAAAATTTTCTTCAGCTGATTCAGGAATTGATTGGGATGGCTCCATTGTTTATGTCATGGATCTTCTCATTACTTCCACGAAAAGCTAAACTATATTTTCCAAGATATTTCACAATTGAAATTAATCTTTTTAATAAGTTCCTCCAATGCTCTTTCTCTTTCTTGATTCGGTTTTGAACAACTCCATCAATTGTTTTATTTTTCTGCAATCTAATACGAAAATCAATCCAAGTGCTCATATGATTAATATGTTCAATACTTGTCTCATGCTCTTTAAGTCTGCCACTAAGATGTATCCAATCTTTAAATCCCTCATTTGCTAACTGACTTTTTTGTGGCCCTTTTTTAAATAACTTACAACAAAAACAAAATACTTTGTTAAGATCCTTTGAATACACTAGCCAATCTCTATCATGTTGCTCTCCATTTGGCAAATAACGAGTGTAAAATGTTGAAGAGAAACGTCTATGTAAATGATCTTTAGGACCTTTTCCTATCAATAGATCTCTTACAGGACCTTTTTCCACTAATAGGTCACAGAATTTGGGATCAATATTATCCCAATTTCTTGGATCATAAATATCCAATGGAATGGACTGGCTTGGTTCTTCATTGAATAAATCAGTGATGTTCTCATTGTTATGATTTTCTATGTCTACATCTTCAACATCTTCATTATGATCATCAATATCAGCATTTTCATTATCATCATTCTCATTCTGCTCAGCATTACCCGCACATTCATCCATATTGTTTTCAATATCTTGCAATTCCTCAACATCATCTTGTTCTTGTTCATTGAAAATATTTTCATCAATTGTAGCATGTGATTCTCTAACAATGAATCTATCAAGAGCTCCTCTTTGAGATTGAGTCAATTCCTCGATTTTTCTTTTTCTAAGCCGTTTTGTATATCTAGAAACATATTTTCTAGTAGGTGGCATGTTTAGATTACAAAGAAAATTCCAAAACCCTATAACCTGGAAGAAAACCCCAACAAGAAATAGATAAATATTTCTACAAACTATATTCTCATACAACCAATCATCAACATGATAATAATTTAATAAAATAAGTCATGTAATATATAGAATAGATTGAAATTTTGATACATACCTGAATTTGAATTGAGATTTGAATTTGACTATTTGATTTTGAGTGGTCTTTATGAATTCAGGAATTAGGGTTTTCTCTTTTTGGTGTTCAAATTCCTAAAATTGAAAAAATAACAAAAATTGTTAAAGGATTGAAAAAAGAAGAACCAAAGAGAAATTGATGAACAATGATGATTACTTACCCAAAAATCAGAGTTTAAGAGATAGAAGGAGTCATGAAGCTTTTTTCATGGTGTTTTGAATGAAGAAAGTACTTTTCTTGGAGGAGAAAACCTTTTTTATTTTATTTTTGAGAATGTTTGGGGGATATATCATATATATTCCTCATTTGGTGGGGTTAAGCTTCCACGTTTCCTGTTTGTAAAAGGCTCTCTATTTTTTTATTTTATTTAAATTTTATAATTATGTAAAGTTGAATGCAAAAATAATATCAAAAAAGGCTAGCCAGTAGAACTACCTCAAGGAGCATCAAACTCGGGCCCTTTTACGAAAGAGGCATGCACTCCATCCAACTCCCCTGAAAACGCTATTGTGCAAATATCCAAACGCTATACTATATATACGATTCATATAATATTAATATATATATAATATAAAGAAATTTTTTTTCGGGGGCCCTGTGCGGTGGCGCCACTTGCACCACCCCAGGGCCACCCCTGCCAGCAATGTTTGGTGGATAGAGTTCTGAGGGAGTCAATGGCGGCGGTGGAGGTCAAGATTGGTACCGGCGAGTGAGTCATCCATCAAGAAGGTGCTAAAGAAGGTTATAGTTGGTCAAGGGAGAGAGACAATAAGGAGAAATTATCTGAGTGTAAGTGATGATGTGAAGGAGGAGGAAGAGGGTGGAGAGAGAGAGGAGGAGGATTAGTCTGAGTGAAGGTGAGAATTGCAGTGTTCGTATGGAGGAGTTTGAGGGAGGAACAACAGTCGCTTGCATGCCTTGCTCTCATGTGTTTCATGGCGAGTGCATAGTAAACTGGCTTAGACAAGGTCACTACTGTCCTGTTTGCCCTATGAGGTGCCGACTGATTGATGAAAACCTTTGCTTAATTGGATTGATGTTCCTTTGAAATTGGTTAAGATCTCCTTGGATTGGATGGATGTTGTTGTAACTTGTAATTGAATTACATATATAAATATATATATATATGTGTATATATATATGATCCATTATGGTTTAATTGCTCAGTGCTTTGCTTTACTTCAGGCTTAATTTGTTGTTCCTTGGGTTAATTAATTGGTTGGCTATTTATTTGTGCTGTTTAATTTTCGAGTTTTGATACTATATGCGGTAATTTTTAGCTGTAAATTCATCATACTGAGGATAAAAACGCAACATTTACAAACTGTCAACTATACATAGCATTCAAACTTTTCAGGTGGAATTAATTGAGAGATCATATAAAATAAAACCCAGCTTAAGTATACTGCGAGATATATCTTGTTTGAAAATAGAGCTCCAATTCCATATGAGCTAAAAGCTACTGCATGATTAAAAACTTCAACACAGCTATCAGCTGCCACACAACACAAGACTAATTAAGAGCAGGCATTAGTTAACATGAGAAGCGTTATATATGTGTGTGCCTTTTCAAGAATTTCATTAATACATCCAAGAACTCGACCCGGTTAATGTACCCGTATACTTAAGCCTATAAGCTTGGTGCATTATAGTTTTGCATTGCCACCATGCCCCTTCAAATCCAGCTGCAACACAATATTAATGAAAGAAAAAAGGATATGCAATTATGCAAGCATCTACCCATGTGTACATTGAGCTATGATATGACCCTCCTGCTGTTGAAAATATTTATAATCTAAGATATTGGAAGTAAATAATTATATAGCCTGAAGAAAACATTACTCCAATGAATGCAAGCAGCTAGCTCATGCTCATCCACGGTAAATATATGGATCAAATGACTCCAAGGGTCCCCCCAAACACTTCAGTAGAAAGTAGAGAGAGGCATATAATCTCCAATGAAGTGTTTGAGGGAACTCTAGGGGCCATCTGATGCTTTGTTAATCGATCTTTACTTAACTTGAGCTTTGGTTGCTGCTTTGGTTCGAATGGTTCCCAAGCAACCCACCCAAGTATTTATAGAGAGAGTTGCTGTGCATGCCTTTGCATTCTATTCAAAGACAATTATTGTACTCTGGAGTGAACCAAGACGTAAGTGTGACGTGCTTCAATTTCAGAAGAGCATGTGGCAAATGAGGGCCTGACGTGCTTCAATTGCAGTCACCATATATATATATATATATATCAGAACACTAATCTTGTTGTTTGTTGGCTTGGCAGCATCTGACGTCTGAGTTAAAAGCATGTGCAGCTGCTAAGTAAGAGTTCAACGTGTCCTCTATCTGTTACGTTCATCTGATATATCCATCTGCTATCAAAGAGAGATTGATGAGGTTGCGGAGGATGCGCCTCGGAAATGCAAGATGCTTCTACTTCTACTTTATTCATCTTACTCATATTTCTGTCTAGGTTCAAATTTCAACACAACTTACTTAATTAAGATGTTTGCGTCTGGTAATTCTGACACTCTTCATGTTAACACGTCTCAAAGAGAAACAAAGACCCTCTGCCCAAATCTCAGAGCCAAGTGGTACAAGTTAACTAGCTTATCAGAACTTCCCATTTGCTAATATCAGGGACATGGGTCAATCCTCATCTGCAGCTTCATGTCACATCTAATATCTTAGACACCGGTACTTTTTAATAATCACAGATGCCAGACTACAATATGCCAAATGCATGTTTGATCGAATGGTCAAGATGATTTCCACTTACGAGTTATATTAGTATAGCCTTTGAAAGTAATCAAATGTAGTGTTTATCTTTTATGTCTATGATGATGGTCTCAAAGATGAGGTTTGTGATTGAGAGTATGCTGGTTCTTACTGCTTCACTGATTGTAAGTGGTGGTGATAAGATAGTACCTAAAACACAGGCAGGAAAGTTGGCTTACAAGATAATTGTCTTCTGTCTTTCTCCTGTCTCTGATATCCATGTTCATCTTCTGTCTTTTTTTCCTAATAAAGTGGCCTAATCAACCCATTATGCTCAACATGTATACTAGTAACTTTTTGTTTTGTTTTAAAACTTTTCATAACCAGATTTAAATTAGTCCATTATCTTTTCCTATTTGATTCTTGTCCTAATCAGGGTTTATTAAGACTCTACTGAATTAGAGAGGAAATGCCAACGATCATGAAGGGCATATGTCCTTTGATATAGTTAATAAAATGGTGGCATTCATCAGAATGGGAGGACCAGTAGAGAAAAGAAAAATGCCAGTGAAGTATTGAAAATTGAACCTGGTCAGGATTGCAGTCAGATGGAGAGAGCAAAAGTGAAGTGTGTGGGTTGGCCATAAGCTCTCACAAGTACTCTCAACCCTTTAATATCCCAACCTGTTCCTTTCAGCATTTTCATTGGATGCAAAAGCATACATTCCAGAAGCATGGCTTAGCAGCCACAGCACATATGAGGTTCTGATCAGCCCTGAGACAATCTGATAGATTTCCTTGAGAATAAGTGTGGGCCAGGTAATTAATTTCAACCCTTCTTTTATTTGTGCCTGCGATTGAGTGTATAGACCAGAATGTAGTAAGTACTAGTGCTTGTATATATGAGTAGGGCGGTGCTGAGATTTTGAGGGCCCTATGCCAAACTTTAACTGAAGCCCTCACATAATCTAATATGAAAATACTAAAAAAAAATTGCCATTACTTAATGTCATAAAATAATTTTTTTTATAACTAAAATCCATCATCAATTAGCATGTAATAACAATCACAAGTCAAATTCATAAATTTTTTAATATTTTTATTTGATAAATTCATAAATTTTTGGTAAAAAAAAATTAAGAGTTCAAGAGAAAGGAAGGCATGAATTTTTATTTTGAGTGGAAGAAAGTACTTTTTTTTAGGAGAAATCATATGGATGTGATATATACTGTTGTTAGTTTCGTTGGACCTTTCCCCTTCATTTTTCACTTGCTTCTTTCTTTTTTCTTTTTTTTTACTATTTAAAATTTTGTTGTTATAATGAAAAAAGAATAAAAATACAAGTAGAATAACATCAATAAGACCAAAACCTGGCCTTGTACTAAGGGATATGCACTAGAAAACATCTCCACTAAACACACTTTTGTGTCAATGTGTTGCACGCTTGAGTATATATAAAGTTTTTATAATATTATATATATATAAAGTTATAAAAAAAAAAAAAAAAAAAAAAAAAAAAAAAGACCTGTGCCAGTGGCGCCATTTGCACCGTGCCAGGGCCGCCCCCTGTATATGAGTTGAAAACGCTGAAAAGGAAAGGCTTCTCTCATGGAGGAAAATGCATGTGAACAGAGGATAGAATGGCACATGACAATCACCTCAATATTATTCCTTTCTTCCATCTAGCCTCCAATTTCGTCTAGGTTCATTACTTAAAGATCGATTTCCTCCTCTGATTTTCTTCCTATTGAACAAGGACAAGGAATAAGGAACAAGCAATGCAACATAAACACAACCAAATGCAAAGAGGGCCAGACACTATATATATAGCAGAGGTAGTTGCAACTCATAACCAACAAACCAAAACAAAGCTTTGAAAGTAGTAGAAAGAAAGAAGTAGGAACTTTGTCAGGTGTCACCTAGAGTTCCCTTGACCACTTCATTGGGAAATAGTCTTCTTGTAACTATACATCCTACTGAAGTGTTTGGGGGAACTCCAAGTGGCATTTGATTTTACAGAGAATAATGAAGGGGCTTATCCGTCACAATTTACTTATCGTAGCAACTCTAATAAAGGACGAATGTTGTCAGGTGTCACCGAGAGTTCCCTTACTCACTTCATTGGGAAATAATTCTTTCTAATCAATTATATATCCTACTGAAGTGTTTGGGGGAACTCCCGGTGGCATTTGATTTTACAAAGAACGAAAGGGCTTATCTGTCCCAATTTACTTATTGTAGAAGCTGTGATGAAGAAAGAGGAAATATTGTCAGGTGTCACCGAGAGTTCCCTTGACCACTTCATTGGGAAATAATTCGTTCTTATCAATTATATATCCCACTGAAGTGTTTGGGGGAACTCTTGGTGGCATTTGATTTTACAAAGAAGAACAAAGCGCTTACAAGCCTTCCACATTTCCACCACCATGGATTTCGAGTTTTAGTCCCCCATCGTAATGTACTTGGTGTATGAAGCTCTGGTAATGATCTAGTTTGCTACATTTCTCTTTTTGCAGCTAATCTTAAACTGTATGCACACGCACTTTTTTTTTTTCATGAATTGATCAGCATGGAATTACACTGGACAGTTTTGCGACAACAGCAGCAGCAGCCGCGCAATAAGGAGTGATTCTCAGCAATGTCATACAATAACTGGTTCTTATATTTTCTTCAGTTTTGATTTTCTTTTCAAAAACTCCATTAATCATTTGCTTTTTCTATTTTGTTTTGTTTGCCGCAAGATATCAACAACAGGACAAAACCAAATCAAGATACAGTTGCAGGCAGAGCAGTGCAAGAACGGACGAACCTGTCAAAGCGAAGTTTGTGCCTTAAAACCAGGGAATGAGGACCATAGGACTTATTGGCCGCCTTTGTATTGCCCAATGTTTTGAAAGGCGAGGCGTTGAAGTGAGGCGTTTTATGTCTTGCAAAGCGAGGCGTAAGCCTTGAGGCGATAAGGCGCAAGCCTTTTGAACATTCAATATCACAAATAAAAATATATTAGTATATTAATAATATGTAAAACATATCATCCATATATGTTGTGAGGTCATTGATTTATAAATTGAAACATCTCAAGCCTCTTTTTAAGCCCTAAATTGATTTAGACTGTTATAGACTGGATATGAATTCAAATTTATAAGATAGGATTCACATCTTGTTTGAATAGATTGAAAGAGAGGCTTCCGTTAGAAATATGTGGGTGGATATGGCTGAGAGCTAGCCAAAATTGAAACATAGGGAAATCTGATTTTTGTGAACCTTCTATTGGGTGAGAGCAGAAGATAAAAGGCACAGGAGGGACTAATTAATATAATAATTTTTTATTGTG